GCCACAATATGCAGCCCTTGGCCTGGTCTGCCCTTTGGCTAAGTGACATGACTGCCTCAGGGAGCTCATGTTAGGAGATACAGCAGTATTTTAGCATCACACTCCCTGGGGTGCAGTGGACCTTACTTTGCTGACTGCTTGCTTCTGTTGCAGGACAGAGCTGTGCATGCCACACAGGCAGCCTCGGCTCCCCCAGTTAGCCTTTTGTCTTTGTTTCCTGGACAGGACTTTAGCCCTATTCAGGCATTACAGATTCAAAGGCAAGGAGGCTATAACAACTGCAGTGGGGTGGGGGGGGGAAAGAGGTGCATGTAATCCCCTCCCCTCCAGTCACCTGTGCTCAGTCGAACACACTTACGGCACGTCTGCAATCAGGAGTTCTGGAAGCGTAGGGCTTAAGGTACCAGCCTTCCCCACTTTTAAATTATACAGTAATGCCAGAATAGGGCTATGGACTCACCAACAGTGTTCTAGAATTCAGCAGCCAGTCTAGTCATCTTCTGTCTATGGACTTGGGAGTGTATACTGTCTTATCTTTCACACCAAGCAGCAAAATGCCTTGGGCTGCTCCTGTTTCATCCTATTAGTATGAGCAGGGGTTTTGTCAAGACTAGGTTCATGGAAGATGTATTTCCCAGGGCCTCTCATCTAATCTGGCATGTATAACATGGGTGGACACTTTGTGGCCTTTTAGTTGTCGTTGTACTCCAATTCCCATGTACTTTCACCATTGGCCAGAGCTAGTGGGAGATGCACTCCAACAATATAGAGAGGGCCCCATTGCATACTGCTTGCTTGATCTTAGTCACCCTGAATTTGCTGGCTATAAATGCTATGTTGCATAACACAGATCCATAATGAACATTTTTTGCACAGATCTGTATCCTCTTGGACTGGGCCCTAAATCTTGCCCAGCAATGTCCTTGCCTAGATAAATACAGAGCCCGAACATCTTGATTTCATCCAGCCACAGACAGATCAATCTATCCTGCATTTGTCTAGGAAACGTTTGCCTAGCTACGATGACCCACATCCAAATTTTCACCCACAAACACCGGCACTGCTACATGTTTTCAATGCTGTTGAGCTGCCACAATCTTCCAAGCAAAGAATTCTGGGAACCCTGGGACAGCCAAGGTGTTTTTAATTTAAGGGGCTTGAAGAGAGCTGTTTTCAGCAAGATTACAGTTTTCAAGGTCCTTTGAAGGAAAGCCTTAATAGTTAAACTGGTTTCTCAAACCAGTTTAAATGTTGTAGCGTCAACATTTCCCAAACCACACTGGATTTATTAGTTGATGCTCAACACTTTTTAGGCGTCCTCTCCTCTCCCCCACCCACTTTATAAAATCAGAGAAGGTTTATATCTTTATTCCATTGCTATTATGTTCCTCTTCCAGGGAACTGAGAGTAAATGGTAGGAAAAGTAACTTTTGGACCACAATTGCTAGAATCCTCGTGGAATTCTGGAAATGGTAGATCTAAGTCATTTTTCCTCGTCTCTAGTCAGGATAAGACATAATAATCATAATCCTGGGCTGTCAAGTCAATTCTGAGTTATAGTGAGTAGTGACCGTTTTCAAGGTTTTTCGGGTAGAGAGTACTTAGAAGTGGTTTACCATTCACATCTTCTAGGGGTGCCCTGGGATTGTGCAGCTTGCCCAAAGCCACACAGGCTGGTGCTTCGGCGATGAACAGTGGGGCATTTTGCTTCCAACCCTTGGCTCCACAGCCAGATTCCTAAACCACAGAACTGTCCATCATTCCTAATCTATCTACACCATATTTTATCTTCAAAAGAAGTATGTGATTGGCCCAAAGTCATCCTGTCACATTCCAGGAATAGGAGTCTTCAGACATCATCCTATGCTTCAACCACTAAAGCAGTTTTGCCCAACCTGTTGACCTCCAGATGTTATTTATGTATTTATGTATTTATGTATTATGTATTTATGTATTTATTCATTTATGTATTCATTCATTCATTCATTCATTCATTCATTCATTCATTCATTCATTCATTTCAAAAGCAAAGGACTGCTGCTGGGTCCTTTGCTTTTGAAGTCAATGCACAGGAGTTGCCCTTTGCCTTCGCTACCTCTCTTCTGGCCCTCCATGGCTGATGAATCACAGTCCACCTCAATGTGTCAGGGCTTGAGTGAGAGCAATGGGCACTGCTGCCTGTTTGTGTTGAGATGAGGAGTCAGAAGGCAAGGAGCAAGGTGCTGAGGAGCGATTTTTTATTTTTTATTTATTTGATTTATATCCCGCCCATCTGGTCTGGTCGACCACTCTGGGCGGCCTCCAATAAGGTGTATACGATAAAACATAAGAATTTTACAAACAGTCCATAACACATACAATAATAAAACAAATAATAAATGAAAGAAAAAATAAATAAAGAATTAAATACTGACAGGAGGGAAGGCCTGAACATACAACCATGTTTTTAGTTGACTCTTAAAAGTGCCCAGCATAGGGGTTGCACAAATAACCAGAGGAAGGTTATTCCAGAGGCGAGGAGCCACCGCCGAGAAGGCCTGGTTTCGTGTCCTTTCCTTCTGGGCCTCCCTTGGCGTTAGGCTCCTCAGCCTCACCTCCTAGCTTGTGCGGGTGATCTGAGTAGATCTATGTGGGAGCAGGCATTCAGCCTGTTAGCCTACAAACCCTATCTCTAGCCAGGTTGGAGAAGGCTGTGGTCTGCACTGCATGGGTGGATTCCCATCTTCTCTACCCATACATACTTTAAGGTAGGTGCTTTGAGTCTGTGTTAAAGATTGCAGGAAGATGAAAGGAAGGAAGGGATTATGATAGAGGTAGTTTGTGTGGCCTACACAGGAAGACTCACCTTACCTCAACATTTCAGTGGTAGCTCAACCCCCCCCCCCCGGGACCATATGACAGTTATGGGGGCAGGAGAACACACCCTTCATCCCATCCAGGCTCAAGCCTAGAATATGTTCATGCTGGCCACAGCCCACTATGGATTTAGTTTTGAGCGTGTCCAATGTGCTTATTTGTTGGCTGTTTGTCGAGTTCAGTGAACAAACTAGCATGTACAGCTAACTTCCCCTGCTCCAGCCCCTTTATTCTTACAACAATCCTGTGAGATATTTCAGGATCAGAAGAATAACCAACCCAAGGTCGCCCAACGAGTTCAATGGCTCATAGTAGACTTGAATCTGGATGTCCACAACTGGACTTGTTGTCTGGGGGGGATTTGGGGCATGTTCGGCTCCAGAAAGCAACATTTCAAAGCTTTGCACAGAAGTCCTGTTTCCCCCCCCCTCCATCGCCGCCCCCACATTGTTTGGGCGAGGAATAATTCCCCAGGTTCATGATTTTGGAATAAAATGAAATAAACTGAAATCTTGCTTGCAAAATCCAAGTTTCACCACATGTCCATTTTTTTAAAATGGGATTATGGGGTCATGGCTGTCGCGATGTCCTGGCAAGCAATTACTGTTTATCTTGGTGGAAATGGGTAAAAGTGAAACAAGAATTCCCAGGACTCAAAGTCCTCAGGTTTTACAGTATTTCTAAGTAAAGGAACAAATTCTGGGTTTCTGGCCTGCCTTAAGATCATTCCCTTCATAGTGCGGATTGGGGGGGGGGGGGTTGCCAGGCAGATAATTCAGAGACACTCCGGTTTGATAGTTGCTGGATCCTCACTCTCGTTTTGTCACGCTGGCCCCGCGAACACCCGTTCTAGCCATCGGACTAACAGTCTACACCATGTCCAGACTTCTGGCCGGTTCTTCGTTCCTGAAAGAAGAGGTGGTGTTTGGAGAAACGAACGTGGTTTGGGAAACAGTCCCACTGGCCCGAGAGTTCGTTCCTTTCCACGCCAGATGTGCTTGGATCTCGCTGCCAGCACGCACGGGGAGAGGCACTTTCCACGTGCTCAGAGGCACGCTCGACTCCGGTTCTCTGGGCAAGGATGGAAAGAATGGAAGTCTGCTTTCACGACAGGCGGCCAAATGTCTTGGGCTGCTCCTGCTCCCTCACCACCTTCCCGACTCCTCCCGTGGGGGCCTGTGTGTGTGTGTGCGTGCGTGACAAGGTGTATAACTTAGTCCGTGCAGAGAGAGAGAGAGAGAGAGAGACGGGGTGTCGTTGCCAACGAGATGGAGGTGATCCGGTCGCGGGTGGCCCTGACCTATGCCACCCCCAGCCCCAGTGGGCATTGCCGCCGCCCCCCTCCCCGGGCAGCCGCTTCTTCGTCTCTCCGCCTGCCCCCAACCGGGTCCCCAACCCTCCCGAGCTCTCGCCCTGCCTCTGGTGTCTGGCTCGGCTCGCTCTTCCTTCCTCCTCCTCCTCCGTCCCGTTCTTTTTGCCTTGCCCGCCCCGTCTCGGATTTCAAGGCCGCGCGGGG